TAAAAAAGAAGTGAAAAAAAAGAAAAAAAAAAAAAAAGCTAATACTAAAGTAATAGAGTCAGGGATGGAAAGGAAGCACTCTGGATGAGTATCTGCCTGATATGCAGGGTGCTAGCTCTGCCTTGTATTGTACGTGTGTAATCCCAGCACTTGGGAGGTAGAGGTAGGAGGGCCACAAGTTCAGGGTCACTTCCAGTCTGAGGCCAGCCTGGGTTACATGAAACTTAAGTCTTTAAAAAAGAAGTGTAAATATGGAGGAAATATGAGTAAATATGGAGTTTTCTGAGATACCTCATAGAGTCAGAGTTTAATAAAATAAAACAGCAAATACATTTGCAATAGACAGATTATAAATATTCTAATAAGCAACTTTAAATCAGCAAAGATATTGAGAACAGATAATAAAAGTCACTCTGTGACTCTCTAAGAATAACTGATTTTGAGGCAATCCTCCGTTATTTGAGAGAAAAGGTCTTCATTCGAAACAGTCTCACCACAGCTCCCCAGAGACAAACTGAGAGTGAACAGGTCACAAAACCCGCTAGTGTCACAAAGAAAGAGTGAGATGCAAGCCAGGCACAGAGAAGCAGACCACCCAGGCCCAGCAGGGAAAACTGGAGAGAATCTAGCATCCTGTGAGCAGCTCAAGGGAAAGCAGTACAGGACTCTTTGCTCTTCTCTTCCCCGGACACCGAGAAATTGGTAAGAACCTGGTCCTCCAGCATGCTACAGGGAAGCCAGATGCTTACCACGTGCCCGGGAGTTAACACAGTAGTCTCAACCAGAGCCTCCACCTAAACTGGCAGAGTCTACTTGTCTGTTCCCTCAGTGATCATCAGTGATAGAATTTTTAATTGGTTATTCTTTCTTAAAGAGTCAGGAGGCTGGCGTATCAGAGTTCTAACTACAGTTCCCATGATCCCAAACCCTTTACAGTTTTTTGTTTTGTTTTGTTTTTGGTATAGAAGTTACTAGAAATTTTGGGCACAAGCATTATCCAACACAAATGAAGTCCAACAGCTAAAATTGGAGAAAATTCAGATCTGCAAATTGTAACTAAGCCCTGATTTCTGAGAAATTGCTTACGTAGTTGGGTCTTTACAATCCATTGACATTCTTCCTCCCACCATCAATAGGAAACTGAAAGCAAGGGAAGCGAGAGGACAAGAAGATTCCTCAACTGAGGAATCTCAAATGGCCAAGAAGCACCTAAAGAAAAGTTCAGCATCCTTAGTCATCAGGGAAATGCGAATCAAAACGACCCTGAGATTCCACCTCATAGCAGTCAGAATGGCTAAGATCAAAAACTCAGGTGATAGCAGATGCTGGCGAGGATGTGGAGAAAGAGGAACACTCCTCTATTGATGGTGGGATTGCAAGCTCATACGGGATGGGTGGTATGCTTCACACAGAACAAGTACTTAAGAATTTACCGAATGTCAGCAGTAACTGCAAACTCACTCCCACCCTGTTTCACCTTTGAAAATCTCAACCAAGAAAGCAGGACATGCGAGGACTTTACACCAGACCTGAAGTTGGACAGATCTCTGTAGAGAAAAGGTCTTAGAGCTAAGGGACAACAGAGGACTCGGCCAGTGACTGCAACCTTGGAATTCAGCCCCACCCTCAGCTTTTCAGAACTACCTTGTTCTGGAACTACCTTGCCCCAAAACGCCTTTTACAAAACACAGGAAGAAAAGCTGTCAGGTGGCCACCACATCCTGGAGAACAGGAGATCCACAAAGACGGGAGACGGGAAGTGGAGAACACAGACTATATACCCTGCCATGCCAGCCATGTACTACGCAGTTTCAGAAATCTTCTGGAGGGCTCATTTTCTGTAGCCTAAAACACTGATAAACAGCAGCAGCTCTCTCCCAGGGTGGTGAAGATAGGCCACTCATGGCCGCGGCCCACAGCAAAGACTCCTGCTTACCCGTCCACATCTCTTACACATCCACGCTGTACTGTGGGGCTCCTGAAGACCTGTGAGCGGGTCTTAGGGAAAGTATGTAGATTCCCATGCACTGTCTCTCAGAAAGGAGAAAAGCACATCTGGAGGCTCATTAATCAATTTTAAATGGGTTCTTGTAAGAGGAGGAATCAGTAAATGAAAGCCAGATTTAAATATGTGGTCCGGGGCTGGGGTGTCACTGTGTCGTATAGCATGTGGCTTCCATGAGACCTTATGTTCCCTATCTCCAGTGCTATAATTCATAAACTAACAATTATTTTAAATGCCTTATTGACTAGTCATTTTTAAGAAACACAGCAGAAAGGCAAAGTATGTAGTAACTATTCTTTCTTTTACATTCTCTTCTAGGAATGCATGTAGTTTTTGTTGCCAAACTTAATTTTCAAGAGCATCTGTCCCTCCAGTCTGATGATCTTTTTTTTAACTTACTTACTTCTCCATATCATAAGTGTATATGTATTACTTACACAGACAGCTTTATGTATATATACTTGTACTTATTTGCATATACATACCTATGCACATTTGTACACATATACGTGTAAAGAAAACAGGAAGAAAAATTCTCAGTTCAGAATCAACTGCATGAAATCTGAGTTTGTTATTATGATCTTTGTTTAGGCAAAAATTCAAAAGCCAAACACACACACACACACACACACACACTCCCAAACACCAAACCCAAATGATTTTTCTAGAATCTATTCGTCCATGGCTTGTGGTTTCCAACCCCTAGTTGGAAATGAGTGGTGGGCCTGTCAGCACCCCATGGCTGAGTCTCGAGGAGACTATAGCTTATCTTTAAAAAAAGGGAAGTTGTTAAGAACTTCTTGACTTTGGATTTTTCTCAGTTCTCTTATTTAAAGGAGCCTAAATACCATGAAGCTAAACTGAAAGGAAACAGAGCTTCTATTCAGATACATGTTGGGAACACAGCATCTGGTAAGTTACCAGTCAGGGTCAGTACCCTGACTTTGGGAGTAGAGAGAAAGGAACTCTCTCAAGGAATTCAGGGTAAAGAAACAGTTTTACACGAAATGTATTTTCCTTATAGTTCATATTTTTGTAATTTATAATGGGCTCAATATTTTTATGGACAGGTTTGTTTCCAGGGAAGCTTATCCACAGCTGCTAGAAGTCTGTGTCTTTGAAAGGAACAGCGGGTTTTATTACAGTAGGAAGGTGACATTAGAGTAGGATGCAGCTGCAGCGTGGCGCTTATCTAATACTTTGCAGAAGTGACAATTCACAGTGACTAGCCAATCTATCATCTTAACTCCACTAGCCCAGCTTAAAGACATTACCCATGAAGGAGTGACTATACAGAAAACTGCTTGTTACCTGAAACAGCTACTTAGTATCTCAGGGTCAGCTGTACGTGTAACCTATGGTTTCATACATTATTGCAAGAGGTTTCTTCTAATAATAAGGCCTGTTGGCAAACTGTCCCCCCACAGTGACTTCATCCCTTCTTTAACCATTGGTAATGTGGCTGGTGTAGAGCCGTACATCACTGCTACACTGTTGGATCACTGTGAGACGGAATGGTCTTTTCATTATGGATCTTTGCCTTTCGCATTTCCTCTGTCACTGCCGCTGACTGGCCACTGATTGAGCTTGGAGTCCGTCCATCATCGTGCACACACCGGTACAGGTCAGCGAGCAGGTGAGCCCTCTGCCCAAAGGTCTTCACCATTCTCTTAACTTTGAACTGATTTTAAAGTGAACTTAGATTGCTCGGTGTTGTAATCTGTAATTTTGCTTTTGGTTTCTCCCACTGCTTTAAGAACTGCTCTTCTTAGGTCTGATAAATATTCTCCTACATTCTTTTAGATTTTAAGAAATGGGATGCATGGCTTTATACTTAATTTTTTAAAATCCCATCTGGAATCACTCAGGTGTAATCAGGACATCAAGTCTGTGAAGTGTGGCTGTAACTTTCTATTTTTTTTTTAAATAATTAACCAATGGTTCTGAAAAACCCTGAAGGAGAAAGACCCCTAAACTGTTTCACATTCAAACACATGTGCTGAGGCTTTGAATTGTTTATGTCATACAGAAAAAAAAAAGGCAGATTCTTGAGCTGAGCTGGACTAATTCTCTGGATCATAT